GCCAATTAGGAAATTTTTTTCAAGCCGACTTTCCGTTTCCGTGGGAGGTCTTTTTAAATCAAGGTCTAGAAGAGCATAGACGTGTCGGGTGCTCGTAATTATCAATAAATCAGACAGTGGCAGTGAATCGCGTAAACTAAGAGTTGAAGTGGCCGCTGAAAGCTTCGCAGAAAAAGTGAGTAGAGAAGTGCCAAATTTGTGGGGCACAGTGAGTAACCTTTTTGTTGCCCAGGTTAGGAAAACTAGAAAATTGGAGGCAGCAAAGCAGCGTCGACGCACGGCCAGGGCCAAAGGTCGACAAGACCTTTCGCCAAGGGAAAATCCCTTAATTTTGTTACCAGGGCTCAAGCCAGCGGGTAATTATGAAAATAGAGTGTTTGTTAAAAGCAGTGCTTACTGTTTGAATGGAAAAATTTACAGATTGGGCCCTGCAGTAAAGAGTCAAGTCCCTAGGCAAGGGGTACCCCTAACCTGAGGGGATGAAGTAGAGAAGCTACAACCAGCGCAGGAGGAGCCGATCCCCAGGAAAAATCAGGCTAACAGCGCGGATGCGCAACTCATCTCTTGGCCAGCTTCGTGTCGGGAAAAGCGATTACTTCTTTTTTTGTGAAAATTTTGCTAACCTCGCGGGTTAACCTTCACCTGACCCCTGTGTTCTAACCTCCTCCTATTGCAAGTGAAGAATAATTTTAAATAGGGTTTTACCCTTAAAGCCCATTTTGGTAACTTTTTCTTCTGAATTTTGTGCGAACAATTTGCTCTAACAGAGACAATGTGATTAATGGCCCAAAACATTTGTTAATATTGGCCTTTGAATTTAAAAACTTATGCTCGAATTATGCTCTCGATCTGCTTGCGTGTAGCCGTGAATTTAATGAAGCCGAATAACGAAAATTTATGCTGAATTTCCAATATTTTAATTTAATTTATTATTAATTTAGTTTTTTAATTTAAATTTTACACCTTTATTTTTTTACTTCAAATTAAGTTCCATTGTTGCATAGCAAAAAGAATAATAATATGAGAAAATAGGGCCATTCGGACTTTAACCCCTTTTTTCCAGAGAAAAGCTTCGAGGGAGATCGATCTTCGCCGATGGAAAATTGAGTGAGTCTAAAAAAAAAAAAAAAAAAACCATTCGAATGAAAACATGCAATTGAAAAAAAATGAAAAATACTTGAAAACTTAAACAATTTAAAATGATTTAATTTAAAATATACAAAAATAAAATCTCCATAAGCTAATGCAACAATTGAAATTGAAATTGAAATGAACTAAAGACATGATGTAAATTTATTTTAATAGTTAATAGAAAAGAGAAAACATGAAGTAAACGAACATTTAATAATACAATTTAAATTTGATTTAAACTTTTAAAAAAAATTATTTCTTTTGAATTTTGTGCACAATTTTTAAACACATATATGTACATCTATGCACCTCCTTACATTTTTACATTTTAATTTTAGCTTATATTTATCTTTGTTAGCTTTAAGTATTGAATTAATTTTATTAAACCTGTTTTAATTTTAAAAATCATGTTAGTTTAAAACCCGGTATATACCGACTCGTAGGATGACTCCACGGTCGTAGGGTCCTGAAGGGATCACCAGAGCCATGCTCTTGCGGCAGGTGATCGTAGGTTGGGTGGGCACAAAGCGAGCACAACAACATCTGTGTCTCTGCATTGTATAGATTTTCTCTCTGTCTTCTCTTCTCTCCACTTCCGCTTTTCTTCTGTCTTCTTTATGTTGTGTGAATTTTGTTTATCATTTCTTCCGGTTTTGTTCTAGCTTTTATTTTGTCGCAGCACGCTCAATTCTAGTCTTTGTAATAATAATGTGTAGTCGTTGTCCGAGATCTGGGTGAGCAAGACCTCCACCCCCAAAGCCGACGAGCTAGAGCCGGAAAAATAAAGCGTGCCCCAGCAGCCCAGATCCTCACCAACCCCGACGAACTTTATGGTTGCACGCTACAACCACTTAAAGACACTTCTTACCTTTTGATGGCCGCCTGCGGCCAAATAAATTACAAACTGGGCCAACAATGGTGGTCCGGGGGATGACTGGCACTCCAGGGTTTTGATTGAACACTCGCATCCTAAGTTTTGACGTTAATCTTTGATTGGAGAGGGCGACGGGTGGTGCGTGGCGAGTGGGGGAAAGCACAACGATGGCAATGGAGCTCTTCGTTTTCGCTGACACTTCATTATGTGATTTTAATATGAATATACATACAACAATGGCCCCATTTCGAGGGTAGTTTGGCCCTTCTTGGCGATAGAATCTCATTTGGACCCCCGAAACGTTTGATCTTAATTAGTGTACTTGAGCGTTCTTCGCTCCTCTTCCGCCAAGTTGGAGTGTCGGCTTTGCATCAGCGAAAATGACAAAATGTCGCAAATCACTCGGGTTGGCGGCACGCGGTGTGTGGGAGGTCCTTGATTGGCATCATTTTCCTCCCGATTTCGCTCCTGCCATCGTCTTTTGTTTAAGCGGATTTCATTCGCATATTAATTGAAGTTTACACAGTAGCAAAAAAGTAACCAACCCGCCGAAGACTAATTAAACTTGAATTCACACTGGACAAATAATAGATTTCCGTTTTGAGTTATAAAGATAAAGCCAAAGTAATTTAAACTAATGTTGTTTAAGCAACTCATTTGGGCTTTGTTTTTGTTGTGGGTATTTTAAAAATACTTTAAAAGAAATAGTAATTTCTTTTACTGAAAATTACGACTTTCATTGATAGCTGTTAATGTTTAAAACCCATTGTATTTCATTAAATTATAATCACCGGGGAATTTTTTATTTAAAAGTAACTATTCTAATCTTTAAATAAGTTGTAAAATCTGGTTTCCCTATAAAGATATGCTTTATGCTCTCAGTGCATGGACATCGAATTACCTAACTGAATGCGGGGTGGGGTCATTGAGTTCCGCGTCAAAATGTCAAGCATGCTGGCGAACTTAGTGTGGGTAAATATTTTTCAATTAAAATCGCTGCCTGGCTATTTGCTCAGCACTTTAGCGACACGCATAAAAATTTAGTAGACTCATAGACGAAGGTATTTAGATTGCCAAAACGAAGAGGGAGGCAGGTTTTGGTAAAACTCATTGAGTCGTGAACGAGGAAACATGAATGAGGGCTTCGTTCGAGCTTTTAACAAAGGTAATTAAAGAATGCGAGGACATTTAATTAAATTTTATATATATAACCGATGCTCAGAATGCGTTGGATATTTAAGTCAATTATCAGTTAGTAATTATTATCCACTAATTACTGATTAGTTTCTCGAAATCATTTTATCAGAAGTATATAATAAAACAGAATACATATTCATCGTACTTTGAGTAATATAAAGCCATTCAAAGAGTTTAAAGCAATTAAATGCCACTATTTTTTACATGCGCACACCAAGTCAACTTTTAATCATAACCTCTGGGAACAGAAGACTGTGGTCCAAAACTAAACTTTCCATAACTCATTTAACAGTTGAGTGAGCTCAAGTGGTCTGCTTTCCCTGTGGACACAATATCAAGCATACGCCATGTTAGCAACGCTTTATGCTCATTTTTGGCACACACTTAATTACCCGAAAAGCCAAGTCAGAAAAAGCTGAAACTGTTGTGCCATATCTTCTGCAAATTGGTAAAGGACCCAGCTCCTTCCCATCCCGAATGCGGTGCTTAACTTTTCAACTGCAGCGCCAAATGGAAACCTCGGTGGCAACTACAACAACTAGAACAAGAACAAGAACAAGAACAACGATCAAGCAGCAAATGCCCTGCAAAGTGTCGATAATTACCTGTAAAAGTTTGAGCCAAACCATTAGCAGCATAATGAGGCCTGTCTAGCATAGATTTCCCAGCCCGACCCAAGCAGCGCATTCGTTCAAGTCCCACTCTCCCTCTGTCCCTCAACTTAAATGAAACAAAAACGGACGCCAGAGCTCACTAAACAGGGGGCGCAACAGCAACAGCAACAAAAAAAAGAAATAGAGTAAAACAACACAACTAAAACTTTCACCCATTTGAACTCAAGGGCAAGTGAGGGGGCAGCGGCAACAGCAGCTGGAGAAATGCTGGAGCCAGAGCAAAAATAATGGCAACAGCCACACTTGACTGGCGTTGAGTGGTTCATAATTAAAGGGGAAAACCCCAAAAAAGCCTTGAACTCATTCAACCGGCTGTGGCTGCATTGCGTGCAGTTTGGCCTGAAAGTTGGCCAAGTTGCACAGGCCGCACAATTGTTGCACGCACACAGGCCAACCACAGTCAAGTGGAGTAGAAAAATACCTATGGGCGTGTCCCCACTAGAAGGCCAACTGCACGGGAAATATAATCTACTTTCTTTAATTTTAAAATTATATTTCAACAAACTAACGCTTCAAAAAAATGTTTCTAGTTATGTAATGCCTCCCAGTCGTTTATTTTCAAAAAGAAACTCATGGACTCACTGAATTAAATCCTTTTTTTATAAAGATAACATATTTAAATAAATTAAACTCGTAAGCTTTTTTATATTAAACCAGAAAAAAAAGATCAGTAACTGCTTCTAAAAGCCGATTGAATAGAAAATGGATTGTAAAAAAATTTCAGCATTATTTTGAGTTCAAATCTTAGATATTAATTATCAATTAATTTAAAATTAAACATACTTTAGTTAATAACACTGAGCCCTTAAATTTCAAGTGTAATAATTTGTTGATTGCAAATTCACGCATATAGACATATATATCAACATATATTCATATTTTCCCTGAGGCCTGACCAAGTTTTCCTTGGACCCTAATTACCATCTTTGACTTGAAGTTGGCGTGGTCGAAACAACTTTCTGCCTGGCTTAATTTCTTAATACTGCACTCGATTGCTTCAGCTTGGTTTTGAATGAAACTTTAAAGTTAAACAATGTTCTTGGCGTTGACACTTGGCACTTGAAAGTGTCAAGTGACCCCATTATCTATTATTATCCATTGTTTATTTATATATAACCCTTATCTCGTTTAAATTCAACTATATATAGCCTGATTTATTCAATACAATTAAATTTTGAAATGTTTAAACATATGTGTTTTTTTACGTACTTTGTCCTATTACTTAAATCCGTGGAGATTAATGTTCTTTCTTATATTTAGCTTTCGGATCATCCTTGGCATTCTTCTTCTCGTCCTTTTTAGAAGGTTCTTGCTTTCCCTTACCTTTTTTCGGCTTCTTGGATAGATCCACCTGCTCCTTGGGCTTCTGCTCAACATCCATGACCATTAGGCCAACAGCCAATGCAATAGATAGGGCCACAGCCACATAGCCGGTGGCATAGATCTCTGGGATTGTCAAAAACATGTTTAGAAACCAGATCATGTGTCGTGTGGCAGCGACCGTGTGGTAAGCAAATGGCGCCACCACCATAACCTTCGAGGCGGTTATAACTCCGGGACAATCACAATCTTCCGCCTTCTTCACAAATCCCTCCATGTCTCCCTCCATAAAGAGTCCGGAAATTCCCAGGGCCCAAACGAAAATAGCAAGGACAAAGCCGCTCATTCGGAGGCAGATGGAAAGCAACGAAGTAACCTGAATCTTGTATATGGACAGGTGGGGCGACAGTTCCCGTCCCAGTATCATATTGCGATCGTCATAGGATAAATTTGGGGACGGCCGGGCGGGTACAATCTTTAGGATGACCGGCGGTATCAGCACATTTCCGTCCGGCCCTATTGTCGTGGGTCCGCTCGCTTTCACATCCTTGGTATCCTTGACATCCTTGACATCCTTAACGTCTTTGGTAGCAAACCAACGAGCCGTCGTCACCTCCAGCTGAAGGCAAGCTGGCATCCGTGCCAGCGGCTTCTGGCTGATCAATTGCTTCAGTATCGGACTTCTTTGGCTTAAACTTCTGGCCAATAGGCGGCTGTCCGGAAAAGAAACAACTTCAGAAGAGCTTTCAACACACTATTCACTTACCTTGCGTACATCTTTAAAAGAAAATTCTCACAATCTAAGAGTTCAGTGTTTGAGTTGATTAATTGTTGAGGAAAAGCACTTTTGATCTATTTAAGTTAACAAATCTTTGAGATAGAAGTAAAGAAATGTATGCCAGCTTAAAGATAAAATCAAATTTCGTATTCATTATAGCGCAAGGATTTCAGTGATTCCTTTACAAGTGAAGTGGGAAATGCGATTGGCACCTTAATGATATTACCTGACCAGGTTCTGGAAGGCAAAATCCGCATCCTGTGCATATGCCATAAATTTATGCGACGATTGGATGAGCTACAATTCAATTTACTGATGGCCAGGCAGGGTTATTGAATTTCTTTGGATTTACCTTCCACTCGCAGTTAATATACCGCCGGTTATTTTCCTTCCTCCCCGCCTTCCTAGTTTGACTCGCTGTCAATTGAAGTTGGAAATGAGAGGGAACATTAAAAGCATTTCTTCAAACCACTGAAATTTCATTTGCAGCTCTTTGCAATCATTTGCCTAAATAAATACGTCGCACACAACAAAGCAACCCACACACTCCCACCCCCACTCACACTCACACCCACACCCGGGTGGTATTCAGGCATTCAGGAAAACCTATACACACTCTGTGAAAATCATTTCAATTTAATAAAATTCATTTGAGTTTTGCGTGGCTGCTGCTTTGCTTTCTTTTGCCTTTGCCCGCTTGACACATTTCATGTTCATTTACGGAGTCTGCTCGCATGAATTTCTGAGTCCAGAAAGCTGGCAAAACTTCACGCTCAATTAGCATCTGTTATCGTTGCTTTCGTCCCAAGCCGAAATTTATTCTTTGCCACACACACATCAAAGACATGCACTCAGTCACTCTTTTGCCCATCGATCAATCAATCAATCAATCATTTGCTGGGAAAACATTTCATAAATCAAACGCATACACAAGCCGAAATAAATATCGTCAAAGCACAGAAGCGAACGAGGTCAGAGGGCAGGTTGATGAAATTAAAAATAATCGAATCAGTAGAATTGTAAAATAAATTATGGCTTAAAAGAAGCTGAATAAAGTTGGCCTTGGCCACTGCCAGTAGAAGTTTCTATAGCTGTTTCGAGTACGGAAAAGTTGGCGTTTCTGTGTGTGTGTGTACAGAGCATGCCAAGGAGTCATTAAGCCTATATATGTATTACTCAATGTAATCATAAAGCACAGGCGACTAAGGTTTTACATGTCACTTATTATAAGACTTCATATAATATATAAGAAATAATGCTATTTAAATAAGCTAAAGCTTATGCACTGCAAGGTATTCTATGGGAAAATAAGAAATTTCCTTCAAGTTATAGCAATCCTTTTCTAATTTGTTGAATTACATTTTTAATTTATGATGCAGCAGTTTAATAGAATTAATAGTAGCCTCAATTAAATCAATATGTAAACTTTATCAAGACCTTTATATTCGAATTTATGTCACCTGACATTATTTCTCGATTTTATGAATATGCCGGGCGTACTTTGTTCATGTATGAGTGAAAAGAGTGAGTGTTTTCGTCTGAAAGGGAAAATCGTAAAAGCGAAGCCTCCCCCTTTTTCACTCACACAGACAGAAAAGTCAGGCGATTGCTTTTGCCTTTCAAGGAACTCAATATGCGTATCCGTGTTTAATTAAGATTCGAGTTCGCGTCAGTATATGAGAGTGCTCCTGCCGGTGTGTGTGTGCGTCTGAGTCTCTGGCATATGAACACATGTATGAGCGCATGCATTTAATTTAATTTTCATTTCAATTGATTCGATGACTTTACGTTTCATTTCACGTCTCGATGCGATTTCAATTACAACACTCTTCTTGGAGAAAGCTCACACCTCTAGGTATGTATGTGCGACAAGTCGGAATCTCAAACCGTTGACGGATTCGCAAATTTATTTGCATGTCACGCAATCTCAGCCAAGGACACACAACACAACGCCGGTTAAAATTTCATAAGATTGCCAAGAAATATATGGTACAGGTGTTGTGTTATTCTTCTGGTTATCAACTCTCCACAATTGTGGGCTGAATAAATCCACAATTTCATCTACACATTTACTTTAAAAGCTTAAAGGAATCCAGAGAAGGGATATATTTTCCAATCAATTTGGTTTTTAGAATCTCCATATCTTCATCATCGATTAATTTTTAGTTCCTCTCACTTTCCGGAAAACGTATTTCTTAAATTTCAGATATACATTTGCTTTAAAAGTTTGAAGGAACCCATAGAAATGTTTATTAAACCAAACGAAATCAAAATTTATTTTATATATACGGTTTTGGTATAGATTTTCCTATCAAAATGGTTTTTAGAATCTCCATATCTTCATCATCGATTATTAGTTCCTCTCACTTTCTGGAGAACTTATTTTTAAAATTTCCTGTAAACACTTACTCTAAAAGTTTAAAGGAACCCAAAGAAATGTTTATTAAACCAAACGTAATCAAAATTTTTTCTATATATACAATTTTCGTATTAATTTTCCTATAAAATTGGTTTCTAAAATCTCCATAACTTCATCATCGATTATTAGTTCCTGTCACTTTCTGGAAAACTTACTTCTGTGTTCCATTCTGCTCACACACTTTTCCGACGGCTACCTTTCACTCGCCCCTAGCCTCTTTTGGCGATGGCTTCACACATAGTCAGGCTTAAAAGTTAGCTATACAACTTTTCCCAGCTAAGCCGAGAGCTAAGGGCGAGCACAAGGCAGCCGCAGAACTAAGCTTCTGCCCATTTTCCCCATTTCCCCCCCAATGATTTCCTTTTCGCCAATAGGGCGGCTGCCATTTGGCATTGCATACTTCCCGGCTGACATTTAACTTTACCGCCATTGTTACGCATTTTTTTCTGCGGCTGTTGCAAGGTTGTGACGTGATTTTCTTTCCACATTTGGCAGCCTAAGCTTTTGGTTTTGGAACTACTGCAACACAAAACCACCTTTTTTTTTCTTCCTGCCCGATTTTAGTTTGCTTTTCCACAGTCTCTTTGCCACTGCTGCTCCTCTACTGTGTGTGTGTGTGTGCGCTCTTTTTTTGTAACAAATGCAACGGAAAACCTATTTCCTTTGTGGATATGAGTAGGAAAATGCTTGTTAGCGCCGCATATGCCACAATCTCGTGTGTGTGTGTGTGTGTGGAACCTTGAACTTGTTGCAATGGAAACGAAAACTGTTGGTCTTACTTCACCTCGCCTTTTTGTCCTCCTAACAATGCTAATTTCATTAGGGCAACCGACGAGGAAAAAGAAGCTCAAACACACGTAAATGAGCGCAAGGACAGATCGTGGCTAACATTTTACGTTTCCCATATAAAATCACAATTACATTTCGACAGTAGGGTAAAAAGAAGAAGGAAACCAAAAACAAAAAAAAACCGAATACATCGAAGTGAAAGCAAACTTTTAATTGCGCATACGACAGGTGTGACACTGCCAAAGCAGCTCAAGTTCTGGTCGAGTGTGGGTCCAGGTGTGTAGGTGTTGCTATGTGTGTGTAAGTGTGAAATTTGGCTAAACTTTTCCAACGTTTCCAAACCCAATTAGTGGGCTACAGAAAACACACGAATAACATTTGCAATTGACAAGCTCTTTGACAAATGCCTTTCGACTAATTATAAATACTTATTTAATACAATTTGAAGGTTATTCTTTGAAAAGTAATACACTGGAAGTATTTAAATGAAAACCTTCTGAAATAAAAAGGAAAATTAATTACTTTGGTATATATTTAAATTTAAATACAAATGGCTTTTGCCTGAGTAAAAATACTTTTTTAATACAATTTGTAAGCTATTCTTAGGTTAGTAATGCACTTGAAGATCAAAAGAAAACTTAAGTTTTATTAAATTAAAATTATGTTAAATATTTATATATATGTTATTGAATCTAATTTCTTTCTTATATCAAGTGTACATATTACCACCTTTAGTTGAATCTGAACCTTTACCTGCACCTTGTTTTGTGCGAGTTTCTTTTGCGGTCTGTGCCCTGTCTCAGTTGTCAGTTTGTAAAATTGAATTCTTGCCCGGTTTGTTTGGCTTTTGAAAGATTTATAACATGGCCGCGGGGTGGGGGTGGAAGTCGGTGTCCGAATGGCAATGGCCGCGTATCGATAAGCACAATGGCCGCTCGGGTGAGTGTGTGTGTGTGTTTGTGACAGTTACACACACACACACACACACACACACAGATACAGGGGCCGCCACTCACGTACAGGCCAACACACCCTTCGGCGGCGACAAACTTTTTAATCAAATTTTTTAACGCAATTTCTTTGACTACTTTTTGTTCTCTGTCTCTCCTTCTTCATCCTCTCTCTGTTGCATATGCATGCTCAATTGTGTTTGTATTGGCAAAGGACATGCTTTGTGATTTATACACACATCACACACAAACACACACACACACACAAACAGAGCGTGCCGCTGGACGAGGCAGAGGGACATTGGGTGGGTGTTGGTAGCGGAAGATGCTGGAGGTTTGCTGCCTGCCTGCCTGCCTGCAAGCAAACAACAGCTTTTTTTGATTTATGAGCGCTTTGGGTGCCGCCATCGTCAGCGACACACACACAGGAACAGAAAATATGTATAAAGAACACACCCAAAACAGCGGAGAATCGACAGCTGAATACATTGAAGGCAAAACTTTAGTATAAGTTCAAACGTGCAAGTTAATAAAAACAAAACAAAAAATAAATAAGTGGGGAACATTGCTGTTCCGGCCAAAGAATACCCGGTCATTGCATACTTTGTTAATTTGCCAAAATATTACACTTTATATAACAAGTATATAAATGGAATATATATTCTTTAAAACATCATCAAAAAAGATCGAATATAGCTCTACAAATAACATATACAGAAAGGACACAAAGCCACAAGGACTAACATTGAATAATAGAATGATATTAAAGCCAAAATCAGACAAAACAGATCTTAATTATAAAAACACGCAATGCAATGAGATTTTTTAAGTTTAATAACCAATTTTATAAACCAACTCAAATAAAATGCAATATAAAGTAAAACATAAATTCCCCCAGAAACTGGGTCGGTCCAAAAT